TTTGTGGATACCACGAGGGATGACTCGAAATGTCACTTCTTAGATTTCCTTAATGTTACAGCCGTGGAACGCTCAGGGTAGAATGAAAGTTTGGCCTTGGAAAAGGATTTCTTACCCACAAATTCTTGAATATATTGCTTCTCCAACAACTTCTACTTGAAATCACAAAAATCTAGCATCCGCAGTATGCCCTCATCAGTAGTCTGAATAGAGACAGACGACCGTTGTAACTCGAGAAACAGGGTAACCCTTTCTTGCCTGAGAAATAAAATTTTGTACATGTAATCACCAATTCACAGTGGTTCATTCCAAAGTGGTCAGACTCCGTGATTTTTTTTCTTTTCAGGTTTTTCAAATAAAAACTTTTACAATTTCTGTCTATCACTTTTTATTGCCGGAGTGTGCATTAAATTCTCGTGCAATGCTAATACGATAATTTATTACTCTATCGCCGTGAATTTTTAAAATTGCATCAAGTTTTAAATTAGAATTAAAATAATATTATGGTGCTCAATCAAAATTTTATTAAATAAAAATGATTTTATTTTTAAATTTTATAATATTCTTAATATTCTTTTACTTTCATCTCTTTTTTTTTTTTTCATTTTAAAAATATATAAGGATGGTTCCACTCTACTCAAACGTCTTCTTGGTCAAAATATGTGGATTTATATATATAGCATATAAATCTTTTTATTTTACATACAGTATTAATTCCGTTGATCAAATTGATTGTCTCGACAAGACGAATCAAATGAGCCCAAGATTGCTTAATTCCAGCATCATTAAAGCATTCAAATGTTCATCAAACGTCGTCTAATCAAACTAAACTCTCTGAATCATCCAATCATTAAACATGGAACTCTATAAATAGAGTCTGACTCCTCTCATGAAAATGATTGGAAGCTTGAAGCGTAAAAGAGAGCTTGAAGCTTTGAGAAGTAGTTGAAGTCCTGCAACACCCTTCCGTCATCGACCACTGTCGGCCACCGTTGACCAATGTCAACTACTATCGGCCACCGTTGACCACTGTCAACCACTGTCGACTACCACTCGCTTGTCTCCATCGATCATCATTATTTGATGCCCACTTCTTATGATGAGTTCATTTACGCACACATTTTGTAGCTCGGGAGATTGTGTAACACCCTTTTTCTTGCATTTGGGAAAAGAGATGATACATGTATTCTTCAGTTTATTGTGGAGCTTCAGCTAGGCCATACCTAATGGTTTCTCCCTTTTCTAGTTTTCTACGTAAAAACTTGTGTTGTCTCTACTGGTAGTTTTCTTTTATCTGAGTTTGTGTTTATCTGAGTTTGTGTTGAACTCTCGTACAAGACAAAGATAATAATATATTACTCTATCGCCACGAATCTTTTAGCACACATCAATTATAAATTAATTTAATTTAAATCTTTATGTCCAAAAATGAGTTTCCCTTAGAAGTAGGAAAGCCTAAATACTAAGTTGGCCTTATGGGCCCAATGGATCAAACTCACAGGCCATGCACTTAATGGTCTCATTGTGATCCAACTAATCATACATATTAGCTGTACTTTTGAAGTTGACAAGATACAGAGCTTTTTGCCGCTCATATAGACTTGGTCAATACCTCTGAAGCTTGTCCTCATATCGAGCACATCGATAGCTACGTGGCCAATCACCGAGCTCAATGAATAATTTTTTGAGGCAGAAGGTAGAGAACTATGTTCCATCATCACACGTACATATTTATTGGCCGCTTCACATCCATGTCAATAATCTTATCAACTACGAGTCTACTTAGGCCCCGTATAGTATGCCCCATAAATTATCCCTTTTTTTCTTCCTTGGACCTCAATTGAGGGAGGAAGACTCTCTACAAATCTTCGATTCCATCCTACCATTTTCTCGAGATCTCTCCTGGATTATAGGAATTTAAGGATTATAAGAAATCATACGTCCTAATGGGATTTAACAAAAACCTTTACAATTTGGTCCTATATTCTTTTTATTTATGTATTCTTGTTATATTTCATTTGAGAAATACATAATTATAAAATTTCTCCTAATAGTATTCCTGACCCCACATCTACGTCGTAATAATTATAAAAAAAATATAGTTTTAATAAAATGGTATTAAAATTTAAATAAAACAATTATTAAAATCTGATTTAGGCAGTAAAATGACCTGTAGCTGACCAAACCTGCCATATATGAGGATTATCAACTGAATTTACTTTATATTATTATGTATTTCATTATTTTTTCATCGTATATCTTTATGTTTTCATACTCTATTCGCGGAGAATATATATATATGAATGATTAGCAA